GAGGGCCCCCCAGTTTTTAATGGCTCTCTAGGTGTCTTAGCCACTGGAGAAAATTTAAGCAAAAATACCAGATTGGTAGGAATCTGGGAGCTGGGGGGTTGGGGCTGTGTGTGTGTGCATGTGTGTGCGTGCATGTGCATGTATGTGTGCTTCCAAGCATATGTGTGTCACAGCAGACAGAGCCAAAGCAGCTATTGGGATGTGCTGGGAAGCATGGTACTTTTGTCACTGGAGCAAGGGCTGTGGGCTGGGGTGGGGATTGGGGTGCTGGCCAAGCTGGGGATGCTGCATGTGCTCTGTCTGCCCTGCTCTGACTCGTGGCCCTGGCCCCATTCTGGCACTTGCTGCTGCATCCTGGCTGTGTGCTGCTGGGCTAAGTCAAAGTCAGCCGCATCGCAGCCCCATGTGGAGAGCCCAGTCTGGCCTGGCTACATCCTGCCCGAAGCGGGGAGTGTGAGGCTGTGGCTGCCTGCCCCTGCCCAGCCAGGGACTCATGGCCAGGATGCAGCTGCAGGTGTCAGGATGGGGACAGGGACAGGGCCAGAGGTGTGAGTCAGACAGAACCCATGCAGAGCCCCCAGTCTGGCCAGCGCCCCAGTCTGCAGCCCTGACTGTGGTGAGAAAGGCACTGTGCTCCTGACAGCTGTTCTGGCTCTGCTCACTGCCACACACTTCAGCGTGCATGCATGTGTGTATGTGCATGTGTGTGTGCATGTGTACCCTCCCTTGTATCTCTCCATCCTGGATGTCTCGGTCTGAGGGACAAATGCAGCCTCTGGGCTGGGCTCCTCCTGCCTCCCGCCCAACCCGACTCCGGCAACCGCGTACCCCGCAGCCCTGGCCCAGCCCCAAGGTGCCCCCAGCTCCGTGCGGGAACTTACCCCATGCCTTCGTCCACCCCGGCTTGGCCCCGAGGCACCCCCAGCTCTGCGCGGGAACTTACCTCATGCCTCCGTCTGTCCCGGCCTGGCCCCGAGGCGCCCCCAGCTCCGCATGGGAACTTACCTCGTACCTCTGTCCACCACGCATGCGGGAGGGCATGGGCCATGCTGTAGCTCCCCCGGCCTCGTGCTGGAGGCAAAGGGGGAGCCAGAGAAGAAGCTGCATGTGCTGTCCCCAGCTCGTCTAATCAGGTGGGGCTGGGGCTGGGGCTGGGGCAGCCCTGCGCTGTGCAGCCCTTGGGGCAGCAGTGGCAGGACCTGGCTCACTGATGAGCCCGGCCCCGCGGGGGGTAAGCAGCTCCCCTCCCCTCGCTTCCGGCTGGGACCCGCAGGCCGACCCTGCCCGCCTTGCCTCTCCTCGTCACTGCCCCGCCATCGCCGGCAGCTCTGCGCTCCGCGGCGGTGGCAGCAGCAGTGGCAACGCCGGCTCTGCTGCCGGCGGCTCTGCAGGCCAGATAAAATGGCTTGGTAGGCCGCATGGCAGCCCGCAGGCCGTATGTTGGACAAGCCTGGTCTAGCTCTTTCCTTTTCGGAACCACCCTTCAGGTAGTTGAAGGCTGCTATTAAATTCTGCCTCAGTCTTCTCTTCTCCAGACTAAATAAGCCCAGTTCCCTCAGACTCTCCTCAGAAGTCATGTCTCCTAGGCCTCTAACCATTTCAGTGCCCTCCACTGGACTCTCTCCAATTTGTCCACACGCTTTCTGTACTGGGTGGCCCAAAACTGGACATGGTACTCCAGATGTAGTCTCACCAGTGCTGAACAGTGGGAAAGAATCACTTCCCTCAATCTGCTGGCAATGCTCCTACTACTTCAGCCCAGTATGCCGTTAAGCTTTCTTTGCAACAAGGGCACACTGTTGGCTCATATCCAGTTTACTGTCCACTGTAACCTCCAGGTCCTTGTCTGCTGAGCTGCTGCCTGGCCATTCAGGGAGCCGGCAGGTGAGACTAGGCCTGATGCAGGGAGTTACCTGATTGAAGGACTGCTTAGGCAGTTTATAAGCCCAGACCCTGAGTAACAGCTGGGAGTCACATCTTGGGAGCTGGTGAAAGAACATTGCCCAGCAGAAAGGCTGCTTCTCCTGAATCCCAGCAAGGAGAGTAACATCTAAAGTAGTCTGGAGGTTTGGGTAGGAACTAAGGAGATGAAGGAGGTCCAGGGGCCCCAGTGTGGGGTCTGGAGCCCTGAGAGAGGGGCTGAGTGTCTGTGGGCCTATGGAGCAACCAGAAGGGTCCAGTGGCCCAGGGAGGGGCTGGAAATAGAGTGCAGCCCAGCAAGAGGACCAGAAATAGAATGCAGGACTGGACAGGTCTGAGAGCCTTGAGAGCAGCTGGGAAAGATGAGGACCAAAAGGGCCTAGAGCAAGGGACCATAAACGGGCTGGCAGCCCAGAGGGAGGGGGGCTGAGAAAGAAACTGAGGGGCCTGGTAGCCCAGAGAGGGGTTGTGCAAGACCAAGGGGTTGGAGGGGCCAGAGGAGAGCCCGAGGGGTCTGGCAACCCAAGAGGGGCTAAGAGGCAGAGGGGTCAGAAGGCCCAGAGAGGAGCTGCATAAGCAATTGGTAGAACAGCAAGAGGATGCCATCTGTGAGGCTTGGGGTATGGTGTAGGGGTGGAACACAGCCATGCAATTTGGCCCATAAGACCTTGGTCACAATCCTGGTGGTAGCTGTAATAAGACCAGGGCAGGATCTTGCATTCTTTACAACTATTAACATCAAGTCATGGTGGGTGAGAGCTGGCCAGACTGCCCATAGAACAGGGTATACCTAAAATATTTTTTGGTCTCCAGGAGCTTACAGCCCCTTCTGGAGATAGTATCCTGTGATAGGTGGGTTCCCCTTGCACGCTAACAGAGTTCCAGCCTGCAAGGGGCTACTTCGGGCTAGGGGGAGCAGGAGGAGGGTGATCAGTCAGGGGACGCCACATGTATGTGCATGCTTACAAATGCACATGGCAGCCAGGCAGCATAGAAAGCAGCTCCTACAGCTCCCTCCAGCTAAGTCTATGTGGGGGCAAGCAGATTGAGGCCCCCACAGTGAGGGAGGGAGGGAATGGGGCAGAGGCTGGGGATGCTGCGCAGCTGGGCTGGAGCATGGGGCCCAGGGCAGGAATGTGGGGCCCAGCTGGGGTAGCAGGATGGAGCCTTGGGGTGGGGGGCTGGCTCTCCATCACTGTGCACACTCCCAGGGAGGGAGGTATGGGGGGTGGGGCACATGCCCTGCAAATTTGTGTGTGGAGCAGGGATGGATGTGGGCTGTCCACTGCAGGCTCAGGGCTCCCTGCCCTGCTGCCCTTCTCCCCAGGGGCCTCCACAGGAGAGCTGGGTGGGGAGGCTAAGTGCTGCTGCTGGGAGCCCCATGCTGGCTGCACTGCCATGGTGAGGCACTCCCTGTCCTCTGCACTGTCAAAGCTCATGATCCCATGCCAGGTTCTCAGATGCACCTGGGGCACCATGGTGATCAGCAGCAGCAGGGTGCAGTGGATTGGGCAGCCCTCAGTCCACACAAAGCTCATCATGGCACGCCCAGGACACTTGCAGCAGGGGCATGTTTGAGGCACAGCAGGAG